CTGCAGGTATATATATATATATATATATTTTTTTTTCTCTAAACTTCTACAAATCATGCGTACTGTGCGCTTGTACGTAACGAGCAGCAAATGATTAGAAAGGAAGTCCTTTCCTTTCGCGATAACAAAGCTGATTATCATGTCAGCTTATGTTTGCGAACAAAACAAATACGATAAAAGAAATCTCAACGAATTTTTTTATGATCATAATTTTTATCGAAAATTTCAATAAAACTGTGCCAAAACGTAAAGCGAGTTACGTATAGTTTTAAATTTTTTGGGAAATGTTTTAAAAAAACAAACAATGTGTAGGTGTGGAAGCATTGATGTATTTACTGTACTTGTTCAATACATAATATGATAATATATTAGTTTTCATAACAAACAATAAATTATAAATTCCATTTCTTCCATATCAATAGAGTTATATCCGCAAGATTAATGCAATTAAAATAATACTGTTTGGAATTATTTCTTTGAGAATAGTAAAACCATCTATATTTATTTTCATTTCACAGTGCTTACATAACTGTATATAATTTTTCTATTTTTTATTTGTATGATCTAAAAATACACCTGGCTTGGTGTAAATTACAATAGTAAAGTTTTTCAAACTAAATATCGGACTCGGAACAGTAGCCATCATAATTAAAAATGATCCAAAAAACTACATTGATTTGACTGAATGTGTAGCAGTGGTAAAAATATTGCTTATTACCTGTACTTTTAATGTACCATTTGGCCCTAAAATTTTTTAAAATTATCCCTTAATTGCGTCTATTAAGTTGACCTTAAAAAATCAACTGTGCATACATAACATGAGAAACTGAAATTTTCCAGCACAAACAATAATAAAAAATTACTGTGAACGGAAAAAGAATCAAATAAAATAACAATAAAACAATAACATGCGCATATATTTTACAGATAATATTGCTCATAAATTAAGAATAATTATCGACCCCACCTATATTATTCACTACTTTAATTCTTTACTAAGAGGTATTTTTTATCTTTACAAATAATGGCTAGAAAAATTTGAAGTACCAACTATTTACATAGGTACCGCTTCAGATGTACATCAATAGGAAGTAGTTTTTGCGAGGATTAAGAATATTTTGACTAGACGGATTATTTGATATGAGCCATGAATATAGAGCAAATCTTAGAATATTATTTGACCATTGTCCATTACCTAATGTGAAAATAGTACAAATCCTATTTCCTCTTATAAATCGTAATAAAAATTTTCATGAAAGACTGAGCACCTGATTTTAAATTAATGTATTCACAACGAAAAACTTTTTTTCAATTGAAAATTGTGCTCTTGAGAACCAACATTAGCGAGAAAACAGTAAACTAGAATAACTATAAAATTTTTTTTTTTATAATACTTGTTATACCTCATGGCAATCAAATTAATCAAGTAAAACATTTCCATTTGCATGGCTTTCAGCCAATTACCTGAAAAATTTTCTTATCACTAAAAGTTAAGTTTATTTATCGTTACTCGTAACTTTGAAGTCATTTGGTAATACAACATATCACTTTTCGATATATTTCTCTCTTCATTTTATGAAAAATTTTTTGATAAGAACTCATGAGAAAAAAAAATGAGTTGAGTGGATACAATCCTGTGTAGCTAAAAGTGATTAACACAAACATAATCATAAAGTAGCTAGACATCCTAATGATTTCCTGATGCTGGAAGTTTCTGGTAAAGATACAGCCCATTTTCTCAGTGCAGTAAGTAAAACGGAACTTGTCACGAGAATCGCACCACCCACTGAATATTTATTTGGTATTTCATTGAAAAATAGTACTTGCCAAAAAAAAGCAAAAACAATATCTGCTGATCTAGCAATGGCAACTGGTCCAGCCTGTTCCATCTGTAGGGCTAAAGTTAGTAGAATTTGTCCACCAAAGCTAAAAAGAGCTAAGGCTACCACAAGTAACCTGAGAAAAAAAAAATCGTTTTCTATACTTCAAAGACAAACACCTGATACTTTACTTCATTTCATGGACTTACGTACCTGTCAGTGCCGCATCGTGGCAAACACATAGCTCCGATAGCCCAGGTGACAACAATTGTCTGAACAAGTGCAAAAGATCCAAAGTTTGTCATTATGATGGAAAAGTGCAGTCCTTTGAGGGCTCTCAATAAAATATAAGCGTTAGCTCCAAACAATGTTGCTGTAAAAGCTGCAGCTGCCCCCCACAAATCAGCTTGCTCGGTTTTTTCATGATTATCAGTCAATGACACAACGGTATGGCCAAACAGGAGAGGTGGCCTCGTTATGAGAACTACTCCAATCAATGTTAGGCAGACAGTGATTATGTTGAACAGACCGCAGGGCTCTTTTAAAAATACTCTCGCAAATATTGCCACGAATACAGGCACAGAAAAAACTATGACCGATGCATCAGCCAAGGGCATGTGTCTGAATGCATAAAAACTGAGCATCAGACCAGTTGTTCCAACAAAACTCCTCAATATCAACATGAGGCGTCGACCCTTTGGAAACGGATGTTCCCCTTTGTAGATTAAAATTGGAATCGCAGGCAGTAAAACTCCAACAAAGCGAAAAGCAGCCAATTCCATTGGATTGATCTAGAAAGTACAATATTTTTTATTATTAATTTTATGCAGCAATAGTCAGATCTTTGGATCAGGGCAATTTTTTTTTAATTTTGTAATCAGATTAGAGGTTTGCTTACATCAACCAAACTCTTGACAATGACACTGCAAAGTGAAAAAAAGAGCGACGATATGGTTGCCAAGAGAAGACCAAGGTACGGGCATGATTTACAGTTGAATGTGTAATAGCTGGTAGTGGTCGGACGGCGTCCAATAGATTGGCACTCAATTTCATCATCTACTAAATGCTGCAACTCTAGATGTTCCCGCATTTCTATACAAAAGTACAAAATTGTCTAACTGATATACTGACAAAAAATATAATAACAATGACACAAATAAGTCTATAATAATATCCATACCTTGCAAATTAAAATACTCTAATGTCCGTTACAAAGCACAGTTCAATTTACTTAGTCTTCAAGTGTTGCAGTGATGTGCGATTTCAATGAGTGTCAACTGAGCATAATTGCAATTCACCTCGATTAGCAACCTGAATGTTGACACTTTTTTTTTGCTTGTGCATCTAATCATTGAATATCTTCGAGCTTGTAGTCACACTTTTTGAAGTGTATGTAAGTGAACCTTCAGCTGTCTTGGATCTTTGTAACCATAACTTTATTTCAACAAAAATAAAACGGAAAAACCTTCAAGGATCTAACGATTATTTATTAGATGAGCAAAACGTGCTGCTACTTTAAGCTGAGAGGGTAATGAATTACTTACACATTATTTAAACATCTGCAGACCACATCACAGTCATTTTATAAGCATTGGATAAAGTTACGCAGGTGTGCTTAGAAGACGCGTGCCTGAATCTGTTATTGCGGGTGTATTCCGCAATCGTCGCCAAGCAGTGAGACAGTTACATATATATACATATACGGCGCTGAAGCACAAATAGAAAGAGATGAGCATCGAACGTGGGTATTTGTCTCTTTCGCACATGTGCGAGAAAAACAGATGCCCACGTTTGGTGTTGTCTCTTTCTACTTGTGCTTAAGAACCGGAAGTAAGAACGCGTAGTATATGTTTCTTATATGTCTATGGAGGCATACTTCCGGTGTTATACCATTCCGCCGTTCCTGATTTATTGGGTCACTGGGGTTATACTATTCCAACGTTCCTGTTGCACTATTTATTCTTGTATCGAAGATAAATTCTAATACTACTGCCGTAAATAGCAGTTGCCAAACAAACTTTTTATTTTCTATCTGTTGGTCTATGTTATGGCTGGTTTATAAAATTGACCACATGTCATTCTTTTACTTAATTACCACATAACTCTTCACCAGAATGAAGTATGACTAAAATATTTAAGATCATTTCAAATTATGAAGTTTAACGCTACTGGTGAGTGGCGGCTGGTGTTGATTTTCAACCACTTGGAGTGTAGTATAGGTATTGATATTTTATAAAAATTCACGTTCAATACATTTATAACAGATTATTGGAGCACTTGGAGCTTCTGAGTTATTTATTTAACAGCCACCTGCAACGGGCACGTTGAGCCCGTGCGTTGTGCATGTCAGTTTTGACCGGATATCATTAAAGTTTGGATATCAAATGGGAACTCGTATTTTGCATCACTCATCAAAAGTTGTATTTTTCCATTTTTCTCTACGAGTTTCTCATCAATAAAGCTTAAAATTTGGATTCAATTTATTATTTAAATTACAAAGAATCGTAGTCAACCCTTGTTTTTATGAAAAAATAATTGTTTGTATTAGCAAATAATTTTGTAAAGCAATAATAATCGTATGGTGTTAAATATGAAGCTTTTGCTTAAATCACGTCAGAAGCTCGTGAGTTTACTCATGTCTTTACTGTAAACATGGCTTTGCGACTTGAAATTTGTATAACTTCGGAAAAATTCTTTAATTTTGATTAGCCTCGAGGGACCCCTTTTGAGATTACTACATATTTTCGTATTCGTCGAATGGGGGGAGATGGCTTCTTAATTCTGTAGGGTTTTAGTCCCTGTATATATATATATATGTCGTCGTGGGAGAAGGTGCTGGAATGAGCAGAGAGACCTTGTATATGAGTGTGTGCTTTATTTACAGGTATTAGGTACATGTGCGGCTCGGACTGAACCTGAAGTCGTCAGTAAGCGGTTACACCGCACGACTCGTATAAGAGTGGGGGTAAGCCCCTACAATTCGTATGTACAAACGACACCTGGTGAGCAACTTGTTCACTGACTCACTGTTTCACTATACATACTCTTGATGTTTGCAAACAATAATTTAGATGTGTTGTAGGTCGTATATTTAACATGTGTCTGATGTGTCGCGTTATAAATAATTTAATGTGTAGAATTGTAGATGTGATTGCAAACGAAAACTAAAATAACTCGTCGTCGGAGCTGTTATTAATCCATCAGGTGTATAACTGTATACCTATTTTCCAAGTACTACAGTAAAGAAAAGGGAAAGTTCGTCGTAAATTAGTTGATTACTTAAGTTAAGTAGCAGCTCGAGAAATCGAGTGTTAAAATGCTCAGTGGCTGGAAAATGAGGGAATTCAAGCTCACCTAACGGGAAATGATTTTTGACACTTTTACTTTGTCTGCCCGACTGTGCAGTGTGGGTTCTCTTAGTATGTGATGTCTTCTCCCGAAATTCTTGTTTCACTTTGTGTAATTCGTATCGAGATCAGGGACTTTGATCTGCCCCCAAAGGACGCAAGTAAGTATTATTTTTGTTGTTTTTTCTGTTCTTTATAGAATACATGCTCAACTATTGTGTGCTGTAATGGTTTTTTTCTGGAATATCTATCGATTTTATTCAACTTGTGATGTTTTTTAATTAGCTGATTTGTTTTAAGGTGCAATGGAAAGGAAGAACATGCAAGGCTCCAGAGAGCCCAGGGATATAACTGTAGAAACTTATTCAGATCCAAATGAGAGGCCTTTGCCCATACTGCCTCAAGGTTCTGGAGTTACAAGCAAGTCTCATTCGATCTCAAGAGAAAATTCGGAGGAAAAATCTTACGCTGCAGCAGTTTCAGCCTCAGCCTCGAACATGGATAGCTCTGCTGGTGCAGCTGCTGCTTGTAATGTAGCTTCGGACCAAATCAATTTCATCTCTGGAAATCCCTTTGTAGAAGTCAGCAAAGGCATATTGCACCTTTACAAGGAAAAGTTAGTACCTGCATGCAAAAGCGTTTTCTTTTCCTCTCTATATGCATAACTATAAATCGACTAATATTATAACTTGCAGCACACTCACGGAGATGCGTTCAGCTGCCAATCAAAGTAACACGATTTGTATACTCTCTGTTCCTGCAAACATGACCTGTCATGACTTAATGATGTTTACTGCTGCGTGTCATCAAAATATTCAGTATTTTAGAATCATTAGAGATGGAAATCCCAACCATTATATGGCTCTTTTAACTTTTCGTTCATTGGTATATTAATTTAAAAAATGTTATTTTCTCACATTCGATTTTTTGCATTTGAAAAATTAAAAAAAAAAAAAATTTTCTTACAGACTGCTGCTAGCGAATTTTATGAAACATTTAACGGAGCTGCTTACAACTCATTGGAGCCAGAAATCGTTTGTCACATGGTTTTTGTTTCCAAAGTCGAAACTGCTGATAATGGTTTTCCACTTTCTGGACACACTGAATTACCATCGTGTCCAGTGTGCCTAGAAAAAATGGATGAAAGTGTCGATGGAATATTGACTATACTGTGCAATCATACTTTTCACGCCAGCTGTCTTGTCAAGTGGGGTGATACATCCTGTCCCGTATGCCGTTATGCTCAAACTCCAGAACCAATCGCAGACAGTCATTGCATGGAGTGTCGTGAGTATTTCAGATTTTTATTTTTAAATGAAAATATTCTTAAGCTTATTTTACAATCAAATTTTTATGTTACCATTTAAAATAAATACTAGCTGGGGATTCGACTAATGAAGCACTATGGATTTGCCTGATTTGTGGACACATTGGTTGTGGTCGGTACGATCAAAGCCATGCATTCGAGCATTATAGTGATACACATCATTGCTACGCAATGGAGTTGGGAAATAATAGAGTGTGGGATTATGTTGGTGATCACTGGGTTGACAGGCTATTACAAAATAAAGATGGCAAGATGGTAGAAGGAGGCCAAGAGTCATCCAAAGGTGAAAGAACAGCTGTTGATGAAAAGGTTGATTCTGTACAGTTGGAGTTCTCTTACATGTTGACCTCACAACTTGAATCGCAGAGATTGTACTTTGAAGAATTAGTTGCTAAAGTGGAACAGAGAAATGCTAGTGATATAAGAGAGCTAACTGAACGAGTTGAAAAAATTACCGAGGAAAATTCTAAGCAAAAGGTAATCTTAAAATTACACGTAAATTAATAAATTGAAAAGCTATCATATACTAAATTTTCGCTTTTTTATTTATTTATTTTTTTAGAACCAGTTGGCAGCTCTAACTCGAGAAAAACTAGCAATTGAAAAGAAGCTACAACATTCAAACGCTAAATTAACACAAATTCAAGCTCAGCTAGCAGAAGAAAAAGAACTCAGGAAGGCACTGCAAGATAATCAAACATCTTGGCAAATCAAGCACAAGCAGTTACAAGATGAAATGAATGTTTATAAGGAGAAGAAGGAAACAGAAATAAATGAGTTAAACGAGCAGTTACGCGATCTCATGTTCTTCTTAGAGGCGCAGAAGCAGATTGAAAACTCGGCTGATAAAGAAGAAATCGCATCTGGTCGGATTGTTATTGAACCGAGTTCAAACAATCCCAAGTCCAATCAACCAAAGAGCAAAAACAAAAGAGATAAATAATAATGTCTTTTTTGTACTGTGAGCACTTCGTGAATTATTGTTCAACGACTTTTTACTTGTGAAATGTTAGTTTTTTAATCGTAAAACCGTAAATAAAACGAATAATTTTTAATACATAAATAGAGTTTTCTATAATTTTTGATCCATTGTTTTTTTGTAGGGACGTTAAGNCAGCGACGAATTATTCCCGAATTTTCGTCTCCCCCCCGCATGGTGCAAATTAAATTACAATGAAGTTTTTCATGAATTTTAATGACATGATGAATTAAGCCTATATGCATAATAAGGTTTCTCGCAGATGGATTGGGTAATTTGCGTTGTTTGAAAAGATTTAAATTAAATTTAAAAAAATATACATAAGCTCCCCACCATCCTTACGTACTTGAGATTAATTGAATTAATCAACGACCTAGCGGATTTTCTCTGGAAGAAAAAAAATCTTTGTTTTGATGAGTCTTTTATTTTGCTTCGTTAAAAAATTCATTACCTCTCTATTAATTTATTTATGTATTTTTTCATAGCTTTACGACATATAACAATTACATTACATTCAGCTTTTTCAAAATGTGTCAACAGGAAGATTATTGGTCTCCGGACAGCTCGGTGACGGCATTTTTATGCAAATATTCCGTTTAAGTTAATTTGCGTGGTCACTGCACGTTGCGTTCTATGTTATCTATTTTTTTTTTTTTTTTTTTTTTTTTTTTTTTTTATTTAAACTTCAAATACGAAAAATTCGAAAGTTCATAATTTTTCTTGAAAACTCGCTCCCAAATCACGACCACGTTCTTCGCTTGGTTTCTTTTTACTCTATTTATCAACCAACTTTTATAATTCGCGCGACATAGTAATCGAAAGTTGCAATTGAAAATTCGTTTCTTTACAAGTATTCCCCCTTTATACCTTAATAATAAATACGTCACGATTAAGAAACGACAGACGCGCAATCAATCGGCTGAATCGTCAGTCGATTTATTGATCGTCCATCGGATGAACTATGTATACCAAAAGCATATTATACTCCACACCGCAGCAATCAAGTGTAATTCCTTTATTATTTTTTTATTTTTTTTAATTTTCATATCTTTCTCTCTCTCGCTTTTTTTTTTACAAGGGTAATATTGACATCTGTATTCTTGACGAGCTCGTAATTACAAAATGCTGCACGCAACGCATTGTTGCCTTTTTTTTTCTAAAACCGCACAAGACTCCACCTTTTTTAAGTGTTGAGCAAACTCTTAAGTACTGGTCAAAATTTTTTCTTCATGAGAGCGAATAGTCTTTTTCTTTGTAAAATTTTTATCTATCGTTAGTATTTAACTAACGTGTGCGTTCAACAGAATTTGTCATTCGGAATTCATACAATAAGCATACGCATTCTTTTTTTATCTGAGTATGTGTGCGTAGAATTGGCGAAACCTAAGTGTAATTATTGAATTCTTTGGTTTCTTTAGTTCCGTAATATTCTTTTTTTTTGTTTTTTATAAAAATAGTAAATTGCGTCATGCAAAAAATAGCAGCGACGAATTATTCCCGAATTTTCGTCTCCCCCCCGCATGGTGCAAATTAAATTACAATGAAGTTTTTCATGAATTTTAATGACATGATGAATTAAGCCTATATGCATAATAAGGTTTCTCGCAGATGGATTGGGTAATTTGCGTTGTTTGAAAAGATTTAAATTAAATTTAAAAAAATATACATAAGCTCCCCACCATCCTTACGTACTTGAGATTAATTGAATTAATCAACGACCTAGCGGATTTTCTCTGGAAGAAAAAAAATCTTTGTTTTGATGAGTCTTTTATTTTGCTTCGTTAAAAAATTCATTACCTCTCTATTAATTTATTTATGTATTTTTTCATAGCTTTACGACATATAACAATTACATTACATTCAGCTTTTTCAAAATGTGTCAACAGGAAGATTATTGGTCTCCGGACAGCTCGGTGACGGCATTTTTATGCAAATATTCCGTTTAAGTTAATTTGCGTGGTCACTGCACGTTGCGTTCTATGTTATCTATTTTTTTTTTTTTTTTTTTTTTTTTTTTTTTTTTTTTTTTTTTTTTTT